TATACTCAGAGATGTCAGCTGGCGAACATGAAGTTTTTGTGGGTTAGAAGACTCGAAGCTGGCCTTTGCTTCCTTTTTCGCATCAACTCTAGCTCCAGTCTTCCGCTCATTGACACTCTCACTCCGAGAGATCGGTCTTATGTCACGCGCAACTTCTCCATAGTGATTCCGCCGCCTCTTTGTACTACATCTAAGCGCTCCCTCTTCTTTGCTTCCAAATATGCCTTCCTTTGGAATAATCTTCCGCCTGAAATTAGATTATCGCCTAAGTTACTAGTATTCAAGTCGGAATTGCGCAAACACCTTATACCGGAAAGCATAAAGGCACTGTTAACGGTCTCATTCCCGAACACTCAGATTCTTGACTTCGAGAAGGGTCCTCCTGGGATTTAGTGGTAGATTAAGAGGTAACTCTTAATTATATCACTAGAAACTCCTGCTTTGAATTGGTTTCTAAATCCAATGCTATCACTCCCCCATAGCGAAAATGTTCGGGGTTTTTGATATCATCTCCCGCATTCCGACCTCATGCTGTCTGTCGACGCTCACGGCGGAACCCTCAGTATTCACTGTCTACTAGTAGTTTGGTCGTACCTCCCTTCCCCATTGCTCGGCTGAGCTCGAAGCTGGCTGTGGCCGATCGCATCTGGGTTCTTCTCGTCTGGCTTCTTTGACGCGAATAGTCACATGCGGCGTATCAATCCGGCCCAGACGATGTCAATTGTGAATCCCGTATACAATACCACTTGCAGGCCAGTCCTGTCTGACCCGCATACGTACCCCTCAAGGCTGACATTTATTGCTACCCTGACGATGACCGACAACAATCCGTTATATACCGCCAACTACAGGCCAGTCCTGTTCGCTTTTTTCTGTAATTATTTGTATTAAGGGTTTTTTTCTCCCGTAAAATTAATCCAATCATTTTTAACATTTTGTATGTAGTTTTTATTTCACTCCTCACAAATAATGATTCCCAATGGACTACTAATTCAGAAAAGATGAATCGAATTTTGTAAAGAATCTGCCTACTTCGTCTAAACTCGCATGTAAATTTATTTTAACTTGCTTTGATGGGACCTCGACGGGTCTTTAATAAAAATTAACCATCCATCTATCTACCCTACTGGGGTTCATTTGCATTCGACTCAATGAACTTCGAGAAGAACAGTGTAGACGAGCTGGTCGATACTTCGAACACATGGATCGATCAGGCTCGAGAGGAGCAGCCAATGAAGAGGCGCCACGATTATGCTGAGAACGCGGTATTGAGAACGCACATGGCCTCTAATGATTGGATAACTCTTGTTTTTGGGAGTGTAGGCCCTCATGAAAGATAGTATTTTAGCTCTCTTGATTTTTTTTGTAATGTTTGCGCAACCCGTGCGCAGGTTATCGACAACAGACCCTGTCACACCCATCTAACAAACGCATAGCACGACAATATATAATCCCGGTGAAGTTGAGCCACAATTCATGCAAAGTGCCAAGCTTCACCAACACAGGTAAGTATGAATATCGCAATTTTCCATTGCATTTCGAAATGCAGCTCCCCTAGCTGAGAGAACAGATTTAGAGAAGCAGTGAAAGTCCGATATTTAGCAGGTTAGTTTAACCCTATTAACGGTACATAGCAAACGATAAATTTTCCTGCTAACCATAATGCGGATCACTCGAAATAGGAAGCAATATCGAAGCCATCGATAGCTCGTGATACACCCACCGTTTAGCGACTCTCTGCATTGTTGAATTTTTGTCAAAAAAAGACATTTCATTATTGAGCTTTGTTCTGCCGAAGCACCTCATAAGCGGATAGCGGAACGTTGGGGGACCATTTGGTAAACACTACGGCTTGATTGCTTGGAAGGGTCGTGGCAAATGTTATGTCAATTCCGTCTGCAACGGTAGCCTGTTCTTACGCCACAGTCGTAGACGGGATGAATTTTGTAAACTGTAGGTTCGCTGATCGGCCTATGTCACAGATGCAGTAGCGGTCCCAGTACTTTATTTTCCGGCCGCGTCTGTCAATCTTAACTGCAGGCGCGCATGGAAGAGCACGGAGCAGCTGCGCGTATGATCGTGCATCGTTCCTTCGCGCGTCAAGCAGCCTAGACGTTGCACAAACCCACGCACCTCTACGCGACTTTGTCACCGCATAAGTGAATCAGTAGACAGCCGTCGGAATTTTGCAAGCTGTATTGTCACTTGTGGCGGGATTGAGCCAATTCAGCTCACGTACACACGGAAGGCCTGCTATTCCGACTACCAAGTCACAGAAGTCAGTAGTGTCACTCGTCGCGAAATTGAGGGCGTTTTGTTCCTCATCTGCAATTTTGCGTCCTGCAGTCGCATTTCCCCTAGCTGTCATTTTCCTTACTTCTGTTTCTTACCTTCGGTTGATGTCTCCGATTCCATAATTGTCATATCATTTGCTTAACGCTGCCATTTTATTTTTGCGATTGCTTTCGTTTTAATCCATAGGCGTCTGTTCGTTTTTTCGTGTTTCGGTTGTCTCGTTCCAGGTGCAGCCTCGCGGAGTCGCGACTATGATTTCTAGTTAAACTGACTTTGCTGGTTATCCACTATTTGGCTTGTAACGCCCCTGGACCTGGACAGAGTTGTTTGAATGAGGTGACACTTTTCCCGCGTGAGGACCTAGGGTGGAGGTGCGTAACCGCGTGTCAGTGAAGATGGCCGGTGCCCCTTCCTCTCTCATCCGCCGATCCCTTCTCCCCTACCGTACCGTATCGTGACGCTGACCTCGCTCTCCATATCACAACATCGGCACTCCCTCGGCCCTCCCCTGCAGTTGCCCACAGCGCTGCGCTCCCCACCGGTTATTTAGCTGGCATGTCGGTATCGCCTCTTCACCCAGACAGGTTATTCTTCAGCTGTAACTCATCCCCCAGTATCGTTAACACTTATTATACACATTTTCCTTGCTTGTCTCGTTATGCATTACACTATTTCCATTACTCGACCTACCTTCTTCCCCGGTGTATGGATGAGTATCAAGAAGTGTTAACAGTTCCGTTCAGGGTCTAACCCGGCAAGGATCTCTCATCTGCGTTTACTTTCTCTGGTGTGTGCTACCCTCGACGTCCTCGGCCGCTACAGGCTGACTAACCAATGCCCACCCGTGTAAGCCATTGGTTGGTGTAGTGCAAGTTGCCCCACCGAAAGTTAATCATGGAAGTGTACTTGGTAGCGATTAGCGAGCACTTTGCAGACAACCTTGGAGGCCGTTCGCATCGCACCAACGAAATCCGCCGTGTTGTCGTCTCTTTCAACCTTCCGCATGTGGAAAACGTCCGAAAAAGTCGTGCGGCTAGATGGACTATAGACTTACATTGTACGTGCGGGTTACACAGGAACTCCATTCCCCCATGTCGCCAGCAAAGTTGTTACGATTCCTGAGGTCTTCGGTCAGCCCACAGCTTATCATTCCCCCACAACGATACGCGTGCCGACAAATTGATGTGAGAAACGAACCCGAAGCAGTATGTCGACAAGAAAATGCACGATTATCGTCTGTTGGCGGGCTTTCATCCTTAGACAGAAACGCCAAACTTGCCAAAGTCCGTCACTGACTTGATAGGAAAAGGAAGCGGATCGTCTGTTTGACTTGTTTGAACCTATCACGGTGCACTGAAAGTCGTGGCTTAGAAGGCTGCCGACCGATGGAATAACGCTGTTCTCTTCAGAACTAAAGTCCGGGATACAAGGGCCTCTCTTGGTTTAGTCCGTATCACATTGTGGGTTATGTGACATCCCAGACACAGAATAAAGCTTTATACGTATGGCGTCAGGACCCCCGTTATTTGTGGCATACGTGGACCGATAGTCTGCTTTTTTCGTCCGCTGCGTCGCAACAGTCTTGCACTTACTGGTGCAGCTGTGATCATGCCTGATCTAGCTGGTCTCGATGATGTCGTGGAGTGTACCTCTTCACGCGTGACGATCGGTGACAGTGGATCTAGGCAGCTCAGCCCACTCTCTTCCCCAGCGGCGGAGACCGAATACAGAAGGTCCAAGAACCGACTTCATGCCTCGACTAACTATGTCGAGTCAGATTTTGAGTTGACCTCCACTTTATGGCCCTTAAGTGAGCAAGGGCTCCGAATCGAGTGCAAGGACACAGAGTTCGCAGGAGGGACGACGAAGAATGTGCCCAAACCATCTCAGCCATCTTGCATTGACTGGTCTAGGATATCCTCGTTCTGTTATCATGGCGAGTGCGGAATATCTCATTTGTGACGAAATCGGTGTGCTTCATTCAAAGGATAGTCCTAAAGTAGCGATGGTTAAATACTTCTAGGTTTTGATCATCTTTCACGCGTACAGCCCACCATTCACAATCGTAAAGAAGGACTGACCAGCCGGATGTACGGTACACGCGAATCTTTGTGGTGATGGAAATGTTGCTTCGGTCCGTAGACACTTCCAAGGGTTATAGAGAATCCAGCGAGCAGCATCGGGTTGGAAGACATTGTCGTCCTTACTCCGTCCGTTAAGAAGTAGTCTCACTCCGAGATGTTTGAAACAGTCTACTTCTTCGAGTTTGCAACCATTAAACTCGTTACCGATACACGGTCTAGTTCCACTACCCGCCACAGGGACTCACGATGGACGAAATCGAACCCAGCGACACGGCACGCGTTGGCCGGGCTACGCTGAATCTGCGCATTCCATCGCAGCTGCTACACATGGGAACGTTATTGCACGCCTAGGCGCAGACCTACGCTGCGCCAAACGCCTGTGCCCAGTCTTCACATCACGTAGCTGACCGGATAAGACGGCAGATTGGTGAGGGAAGGAGAATGAGATCGACTCTGGGCAGTCTATTCGTAAGGCACTTCAGCACATACCCCACTGTGAACAATATGACCCGCTTTGGAACTATCAGGATGCGCCAAATATTGTGACTTAGAATGCTGCTAACTGGCGGGATAACTTGGCCCTGTCAGGATCAGAGTCCGGCTGTGATGGCTCCTTTTGATTGTGGCCTCTATAGTACTCCTGCCCAGTTGAGATGCCAGCAACTCCCTTTGTTGCTATGAAAGCCTGGTTCATCAATAGCAGAACAAATTGTGTGTGACAGGGGTTGACTGACTGTTTAACTTTGTCAGTTACTGCATCCGATCCCGCCGCCGGTCGTCCTGACTCTGTTTTGCCACCCGGTCCAGATGGGTGAGGGAGGAGAGTGCGGCAGATGTTGGCGGAAGGAACCTGGCTCGAGCCGTCTGAGCAGATAACTTCCGGGTTCTTCCGCTGATCCAGTCACTTCGGCGTCGCTTGCTATATCCAATTATTATCTCAGATGCTCCATAGGCTGGAATTTTCAGTGACGACCACTGATTACTGCCTTCTCTGTTGGGTCGGATCGTAAAAGTGAACCAGATTTCTCTGCACAGGGCCTCGACAATGGTGATTTGCCGGATTTTTGCGACATAGAGGCGTCTAGGACGTGACACTTTTGGCGCGGATGAGAGATGAACTTTGAGGCCTGTACGAACGAGGACATGGCCCGACCCATGGTCCTTACCAGTCTCGCCACCGCGCATCGATCCGCTATCATGGACGCAGCTGCGGAACCTTGAGCTGACTAGTATGTAATTAGTCTGACTGGCTATATGACCGTCCTTTCAATACCAGGTCAGTAGATGTTTGTTGTGATGCTGGGAGCACGTGTTGCGACAAATGGTCGGTCCTGATAGGCGAAGTTCGGAAATCTCTCGTCATTTTCACATGGGGAACCAATCCCAGAGCGGCCAAGAAGATGTCTGTTGGCGTAGTCGCCCGGTCCAGTCCGACGCCTCAATCCGCGACAACAATCAGCAGATCGCTGTGAGGGAGTCTGTCAACTAGCGGTTGCAGCTGCGAGTAAAACACCTTTTTTATCGCGCTGTTTGGCAGCTGAAGTTAGTGCGTACATCGAGGTGATAGAGATGCTTCTGAAGTGACCCTTCAGACGCACGTGTGCTGTCCGATCATTGACTGGTGCCCAAGCAAGTAAAACGAGTTCCGCTTGTTACGAGAGGGCGATTGCCACACTGTGTCTACTAGAAGAGTCGTGTGGGCCGCTGTGGTACAGGGTGAAGTGTGATTCGACTAAAGAGATATTTATTTCCCGAGAGCCAGAGTTAGGAATTCGAACTTCAGTCAGCGGACATCCACGTACCGGTTAAGGCTGCGAGTTGTCGGACTTTGGGTACCAGGGTCCAGGATCGTTCGTGCACTCTAGCATCCAGTACCAAGGGTCCGTCCTCAATTGAGTACTCCAGCTCGCATATTAGTCACCAGCACCACTGGAGCAGGGTTGCAGAGCGCGTCGGTTCCTGCGGAGGCCGTAGAATGGGTCTTAGTGCTGTGGCCGGACATATTTCATGAGGTTTCTTTGGAATTTTGAGTAGAGGCGGGTCCCCAACAGCCACTCGGATTGTTTGTTCGAGGCTGTCTCTTCCAGCACTTTGGCCTAACCACAAGGCAACGGTGGCAAGCAAACTTATTTATTGGCGGTTCACGGTTGCCATGTCACAGTGCCGTCATAGGGCTTTGCGACTTTTGTTATAAGGCTTTCAGCACGCCAGAGCTCAATCCTCCTCATCCCGGTAGCACTGTCGCTGCTGGTCCGTGACTGCTTATTCATCAGAACTGGGTCTGCTGTATCCTGCAGCTAACCTTCACTGAAGGCTGTTCCACCATAGAGGAGTTCGAATGACATTGCCATTTAGAGGGCACCCGACCAGTAAAATTCTACAATGTGAGGAATATCTTTTGTTTTGTCGTCATTACGTTCCGTTTTTGGCGGCCGTTCTTCTGTATATCTTGTGGTGAACTTATCGGAGTGGCCACTTTCTCACAGTGTTTCGCATAAGGGCGAGATCGTTCTCCAGCGTGTATCTGGAGTGCAGATCCTCCTAACTTGGTTGGCTAAGCAGCAGTCTAAGCTTCGTTTCTGAGTTAGTAGAACAAGACTGTAGAAGTGCGTGTACTGCCCTGTCAACCTTGTCTTGTGATATACGCTTCTACGAGTTGTTCCGCCAGACATTTTACTAAGTAGGACATCCAGAAAGGGGAGGGCCTCCCCCGTCTATCATTCCAAAGCGAGGGTTAACGTTGGGTGAACCTGGTTAACCCCGTGTATCTGGCGAAAAAATTGACTACTGAATCTGAGTTGAACATTCGACATGCAGCAAAGGAGCAGTTGTTTTAGGGCTAAGCCAGGGCTTCCAAAAGGGAATTCTTACTTGACAATTTCGTCACATGTATTATGTTGTTTCTGTGAGGAGAATATCTTTGAGCAATTACGAAATCGATGAATTTAAGGGTTCCGTAGGCTGATGGTGGTTATTTTGCGTAGGGCGGGTGTGATTGTCTCTCCCAGCTACTTTGCAATTGCGTAATAAGGCGAATTACGCACGTCTAATGTCGTTCGCAAACGAAGGTCAGGTTTGTGAATCTTTGGCCAACCATATAGCCTCAGGATGCTTGTGTCGTCAGTTGGGCATAAGGGATTCGAACTTTTCTTCGCTAGGGGAACCTTAATCTCTCGGTTTCTTAAGACTTCTTTTGAGTTGGACTTCTGTGACCTCGGTTTGATCGTTATTTTTGTTCTCCCTGTTTTGTTTCACTTTTACCCCTAAATACTGAAACGTGCATATCAGGATGTACATGCATCAGATCTACTGAGAACTATCAATAATATACGCGAGAAGTCAGTATACTTTGCCATATCTCATTTTCCTCCCTTTTTAAGGCGACGTCTTATCGTGCGACAGCTTCAACTTCACTGCGGCGATAAACGCTGCGAACCATCCGACGGCCAGATGGACTGTCAATCCGACATTTACCATTGACACCACCGCCTCTGTTGTCACGGATTCCCGCATCTGTCACTCTACTGTCTGGGTGTCTGCCATCGGCAACTTTAACTGAACAGCTGGCATGCAACAGGCAGTTGCCACCGTCATGGAAAACGAGGAGAGGCCCACGGAACTGGAGTCAGATGGTGATCCGTCAATCAAACTGAACCCGAATGCCGTTAGTCCAGGGCGATTTATCAATTACGCCGCCAGTGAGTAACTTCATCCGTCTCTGCTTTGAGTTATTATGTTTGAGCATTATAAACTTTTCGCATCCTCTTTACGTTCCCTCTCTCCTCCCCCCCCCCGCCCTCCTCCTTCTCTTTCGCGGAATTTTTGGTTGTTCTGTCGCTTTTTCGCTTTTTTACACTCCATCGTCTGAGAAGGTTGACGGGATTTCAGGGTCGGATGTCGGTATTGGGTGAGGCTTTCGGCTCACCAGGTTACTGTGCATGATTTTTACTGCTGTCACATAATCATCCATAAAAACTCACACCTTTTGAAACGACCCATAATTTCCTCAGCCTTAATTCGCTCTTGTGCGCTTTCGACTGAGGTTGACTCTTCTGCCCCGTTTATTCTGGCCGATTAATGACGTCGTCCAGTAACAGAGGTTTAACTGTACTCCAGACGTAGGTACTAGTCAAAAAGAGTTTGACATGTGTTTCACCGCGGTGTCTGTTGCTGCATGATGTGGCTCGGAGGGGTTCATCTCCCTCGTAGGTCCTCCAGTATTCTCTGCAAGGTTCCAGGCATATGAAGTCCGTAAATGTCTACGCCTATGCTTCCTTGGAAAAAAAGCGAAATTCTCGTGTTGGGTTTTTAAGTCAGCAAATGGAACTCCGCATTCTCTTGGCTTTCGTTGAACCATGAAATTTGCAGTTTTTCATTTTCTAGTCTATTTCGAAATAGAAGAATTCCTCCTCGTGCCTGGATTTGATCGGGCTTCGGCTAATATATGATCAGGGACATCAAATTACTGCATCTTTCGTTTATTCGTTTGCAGGTCGAGCCAGGTTGCACAGTTCTGCCCGAACCTACCAGTTCCTCCCCGTTCGGTGCACTGAGGCTGATCAGATGACGCTGGAGGCCATGAATTTTCTCTTGTCCGCAAACAACGTCTTTGGCATCTACTCAGAGTCGCCCTTTTTTCGACCCGTCACCCTCCTACGGCCTGTACAGTTTGCCTGCCCATCCAACATCCTCCTTCAATACCCTGATCCCGAGAACATGGTCCGTACGTTGCGAGATCTGGCAGATCAGAAGGTAACTAGTATCCCCCTGCTGTCTATTCTCTCGGGTGCCAAGCCGAATGCCGCCTCCCTGGGTTTCTACACTGGCTATCTGACCTACAGTTTCACCCTCGAGCTCGACAACAATACGATGCGTATTCTGGTGGATCAGTCACGACGACCGCATGAGTGCGTCTGCACGCCGTGCTTGTTTGTTTATCTTCTAATCAACATTGAGCACCAGTTAACCCCCCCCCCTCTGCTCCTTGTCACTGCCCTTTCAAGATGACATGGTTTCCCTTAGATAGTTAAACTTGCTGCCGCCTATTTACGCCTTGTCTTTGTGCTTCAGCGGCGCTGACAAGTACCGTCTCATTCTTCGGTTGGCCTGGGCTACGGCCGGACTTTACATGCCACGTGACAAGTTCAATCCTTCTCGCGTTCTCGCCTGCGAAGTACTTCCTCGCTGTCTCTCCGTCCGCGTTGCTCGTCGCAATGTCACGCTTCCCGATCCCATCTTTCATGGCGGCCAGGCGCAGAAATTTGGTCATCGTCTTCGATTTGCAATTGACATCACTGACAAGGTTGTTTTTCTGTTCCTTCGGGTCTACTGCATGTCCTGGCTTGTTCTGTCTGAGCTTTCAAAAGAGGGAGTAGGAGACGATTTAACCAGCCTTGGGGAGATGAATTTTTCAGTGTTTAGAAATCGCATTTCAGTCCATCTTCAGAAATTTGCCAGCTCTGTTGTCTGCGCCCAGTTGGCACAGTCCGGTCAGTTGGTGGTTGGGCATCTGGAGGTGTGTCTGTGCGGTCATCTGCGCGACATGCTCCCTTTTTCAATGTCAGGCTGTTTTGCGGCGGCTGTGGAACTAATCCGTCTCGATTATTGCGGTAAAGCAGGCACACTCTTCACTTTCCAGTGATGGAGTCTGGCATGAATTTGTAACTTGAGACAAAATCGACCTGAATGATTGGGTCCTTTTCTTGTGAATTGATTACTAGAACACCTCTCTTAAATTATTCGGACCAGAGGGGGCGATTCCCGGACACCATTAGTGAAGGAAAACAGCTGGAGTCTGTCACGTGTGTCGCGCGAGTCCACACAGTTTTATTATCGACTGATCTTTCTCGTACTTGCAGATTGTAACTCGATCAAACTTCTTAGTCCGCGGTCGTGGTGTTGAAATTGACCTAACCTGGCTGCACGCCCCTCTGGAGGACCACGCTCTGCCGCTGCTTGAAATGGTCGGCTCCGGGTCCTGTACTCCTATTCTCAATCATTTGCTTAACCTTCCCCTTATTCAAGTCACTCTGGATCGTGTCCAGCCCATACCGGAGTTTGTGCGCATGTTTTCGTCGGCTGTTGCTGGCGAACCAGTCACAGACCCTCCTCCGGGTTGCAAGCTTCCTCGCTTGCCTTCGGAGACCCCCGAAGCTCTTGTTGGTGTTTACGACTTCTGTCTGTCTTCTGATCGCGTGATCGCGGCTTCTGAGTCTTTAGTGAGTCCTCTTCCACTCTGGTTTGTGGCTTGTAAATTTGATGTCTACTATCAAAACATCAGTACGAAGTGTCCGTAAGTTTAGGCGACTAGTTGAGTCCCAGTTGTGCAGTAGGCCGGATAACTCGTGAAATATCATAAGTTACCACAAGAAAATCCGTATAACGCAAACTCCGCCCAAGCAGCCATACACCAGTAAGAACGACTTTCCTCAGGAAAAGGACATAGTTTGGTCCACAACTTACTGCTTTCTAACTTGGAAATAATGAATTTCTTCTGCAAACTGGCATTTTACAAAATTGCTGTTGCATATTGCGTAAATGAGGCTAACTGTGAGGGGTGCATAAGGACGGGAGACATATGAAAGGGGAGAAATAATGAAAGACAATAGCAAGTACAAAGGCTGAGTGCTTCGTTGATCGTCCATTTGCATCTAACGCAACAGGGATCCCCTCAGACATGAAGATGGCATGTTGTCTGTGGCGGGTTGTTCAGTGTGATTATCTGACACGAAATCAAACGTTTCTTGCATTGAACGTTTCTTTTTATGCCTTGTGCTAACTTCCCTTAATGAGTACGGTGGTATTTTTGATAGGATTGAGATCCAGGGCATTTGCGGAGAGGATAGCTGTTGTCAAAAAAAGTTAAATTATAGTTGTAAGCCTTATCAAATTCATACCTCTTTAGAGCGATGGTCAGGGGAATTATCATGTAATATGATGCCACTCATTTGGCGTCGGTGGGTGTCATTGTAAATGAAGACATCTTTCCCAGTGTTGATGAGCACCGTTCTATTGATGGTGTCTTTCTTAGCAGATAAAAAGCGCTCTCTGATAAGCTTTTTGTTTCAAAAACGGCATCCTTTTCTTGATTAGGTTCATAGAGAACATCGACGTATACTCCCTGTGAATGGCCTTACTGGGCATGTAGTGATAGGTTGTTAGTGTGCGACTAATAAGGTCGTTGTCTTGCCTACTTGTGGATCGTTTTGGTTCACCCTGCCTATTTTTGGGCACGGCTCTATCACTAATAGTTCGCCACAGAGTGACAGCATGTCGCAGGTGCTTGATATAAATATTTGTGTACGTCTAGTAATTCTTGGTATGGTAAAACAAACTACTGTTAAACAATTCTGTCACGGAATTTTATGGCACGAAAGGTCACGAATTTACAAAACAGAATTATATGAGCTGAATTTGCCCCTCTTTTTCTTGCCAACAAAGCGATTTCCCATACCTGCTCTCATCTGATTTTCTTGGAGGCAGAATCCAATTTTTCGTTTCCCGAAGGGATTTATTTCATACTTTTCCTTTTTTGTTAATCTTTGTTTACGGCTAAACATGAGGTTTTGATAAGTGACTTTCAGTAGGGTAGGAAGTTACCTGGATATCAGGAAAGTTCAGAATTCGTCATAACGACATTTCATCAGTTAGGCTGTTTGATGCGATCCTG